ATTGAAAGTTCATATCTCTTAGATCATATATGTCAAATTTTGTTAAAATTGAACAACAACTTGAAGGTAATCAAAGTGTTCATATTTTAGTATATTTTGAAATGTATATATTACGTCAATTTTGTTTTATGAGAATGAAGTATCAAATCATCTTAGATTAATACAAAATTTGACATATATGATCTAAGAGATATGAACTTTCAATCTAACGGTTGAATTTTAAAAATTCACATTTAATATAAAGTTATTGAGCGGTATAACACTTAGTAAAAGTTACACCGGTGTCGTTTGAACTCTCCTCGTATATATATATATATATATATATAACACATACTAATAGTAAAGAGATAAACTTCGTGTATATGTTTTTTAGGCAAATTTATCTCCATAATTACTATTTTTTCTCTCCATCATTTTCTTATTGAGTAAGTTATGTTATCTTCCACTTTAAGATAAGGGTATTACATGATCATCATTTTTATGTTAAAATATATAATTTAATCAATTAAAATAATAAAATATTTGATCATAAAACACCAATTTATACATTAATTCTTAAAAAAATTTATTAAAAGCATCAATTTAGTAATATTTTTCTTACAAGGAAAGTTAACAAAATTTTATTAAAATTTTAAAAATGAGTAAAATATCTTAATTTTCTTGAGAAGAGAGCTTGTAATTTTTAACATAAAAGAATAGGATAAAATAATTTTTTTAACCTTAATTATAAATAACAATTATTAATTCTAAAATTTATATCTTTTATTTATTGTTAATTTTATTTTTTAAAGTATATTTAAAATGAAATTTAAATTTATAGTAAAACTAATAAAAAAAATAATTATATTAATTATTTTTTTAATATTCATGATTTCTCTTATATTATTTATAAGTTAGATCGAGGTAGTACCAATGCAGTGTGTATATATAAAAATAAAAAAATTTAAAAGTCGCAGCAGGCCCTGTTTTTCTCAATTTCTTCTTCTTCTTCTTCTATAAATTATTATTCATATAATATATAAATAATTATATACATAGTGATTGATCTGTAACCAAATCACAGTTGCGGAAAGGAGAAAATACTTTAACTTCTCTGTCTCAATCATTTCATTATACTTTTTCTCTCCCTTCCAATCACTGCGATCTCCACAATTAGGGTTTCCTTATTTGTGTCTTACTGGTTCGTTCCCATTTTTTTCCCCTTTCTTTTTGTTTTCTGTGCAATTCCAATCACAATTTTATTATTCATTATCCGTTGTAGATGGAAAAGCTAAGATCAAATTATCATTGTGTATTATTGGGTTACAATCAGTAATTTTCTGGATCGATGTATCGCTGCAATTTTTTTTTCTTTTAAAAAAATAATATTCTGAGATTTTATATAAGTTTTAGTTTAGCTTGATCGTGCTGGTGTTTGAAAAGGGATCACTAGTAAGTCAAATTTCAAAGCTTTGTTTTATATGTACCAGTGTTTCATGATCTTCTCGGAATAAATTTTTGATCTGGTGTTGTCGTATGAGTGCTCTATCGAGGGCTGATAGAAAGATATAGGATTGAATCTAGTTACTTACACGTGCACTTGTTAAAGGGTTACAAGAAAATTTAATGATTGATTATTCATTGATATTTTGTGTTTTGGCTTTGTAGGTCTGATTTAGAGCTTGTTCAATCGTACTCTACTCTCTCTGTCTAAATTTGTTTGCTTTTTTTATAAAATTTTTGTATTTGTTGATTCTTTTGGATTTGAAGCTTTGTTGTAGTTTTTAGCTGCTCCAAGAAGAGAATTTACCTTTTGATTGACTTTAGCATCATGTTGACTGATTCTTTCTCTTGTACGTGTGTGAAAGGAAAAGGAAGATCAAGAAGAGGAATAATTGTTTTTCTATATCTGATTCAAGTCCATGAAGCCACAATCATCATCTTTAAATCCGTATGCAGCCTCATATATTCCTCTCTCTAAAAGGGGGGCACATGGAAGAACATCTTTGCCAGAAAAAGATTCTAAAAGTTATGATGGGACTGTTTGGTTTCAGACTCATCAGGCTGCCACAAATGATCAGCAACTTATCAACTCTAGCTTGGAAAGGCTCTCCAAACCCGAAGCTTTTCTGGCAAAAAGCCAGCCTGCTTCTAGTTCTTACACTCCATCATTACAGAATGTGGCAGAGTTGACAGATAATCAGTTACAAGATGAAGATCTTGATATGGATTTGGAATATCTTAGGATGACATTTCCTGGTATATCTTATCAGTCCCTTGTAGATGTCTATAACGTAAACAGTGGCGACTTGGATGCTGCTATTGATATGCTCAGCCAACTTGAGGTATAGTTTTGAAGTTATTAGTTTTTGCGGTTTATCATTGTTTACCCAGTGCTGCATTTTATTCTTCCGATTGATTAAGTGATGAAACCTTTTTTTGTCTTCATATACGTATGTTTAAGTTAAGTATTAGCTTCTATTCATGCAGTGTAAATGTTGAATCATGCAATATGCCATGACATTTGACTGGAAATTTTGGTATAAATGCGATATAATGTAGATGAAATAGTAAATTGACTCTTGTTTCTGTTTCCGTTCTTTTCCTTCCTTATTGTCTCTCTCTCCACATGACATTGGATTGGGGAAAACTTTTCATCTTATGGTCGTTGAACCTCAATGTGATTTAAGATTGCCATGTGAAGCTTGAATTTTTTAAATTCAATTTTTTTTTTCCTGTAAATTGTGTTGATATTTTTTTCTCTAATGTTATGTATTCCCAGTTTTTTGTTTTAACACTTGGTTTGCTTTTCTGTCTTCCCAATTGTATAATTGTCAGTGTTTCATACTGTGCTTTGTTTTCATCCCCTGCACCCCCAATGTTGTGTTTTTGTTTTAAGGGTCAGGAATGCTGAAATATTACATTTCACTAATTGGAAACTGGTATGAAGGAAGGTTTGTTGTAAAAAAGATAATCTGTTCTCTGTTATATATTCAGATGAAATAGGGAACTAAACGTTATCAAATCACCTAAAATCTCCTGTGCCAATTAAATGTTAGTTTCACAGTTTTTGTAAGATGGATTGATAGATTTATCAGTCTAGTTTTGTCAATTGTCAAACATTTTCTTAGGCGGAAATACTTTTTGTTGTCATGTCAAGTGTAAAAGGACCGCTTCTGAAAATCATTAAGTTGAAAATCCAATTTTTGAGTGTTTATTGTTTTGATCTTACAGTTAGAGGGAGATGAGTCTTCTGGAAGTCTTCCAGAGACACTGGATATTGGTGATGTTTCGGAATCTGGATTGGCAGCTGATTCTGCTTCATTAAAACAGAAGAATGTAGCAGAGGAAACCAGTACATCATCTAGTCACAAAGCATCAGCCAATGTCTCGTGAGTTGGTTTGTCATTCACAATTGGTTTGGTTGGATATAATAATAAGTGTAAAAATTGGAAAAAAAAAAAAGAATTACTTTAGGTCATTTTATGGTTTGTACTTTGTATAGTTCTCAGCTTTGTCATGTTTTGGTCATTATGGTCTGAAATGTTTTCTTATAATGAGTTGCTTGTGCCCCGTGCAATTTGGATCTTTTCAATTGTACGAATTGGATGGCCTAGAAAGGGGTAGGGAGGTAAAAAGAAAAACACAAATATGAAGGTGATTTTCAGTTGGGATGGATAAGTGGCTTGTTGACTTGCTTGCTGGATTGTACCGTGGTGAGCTAACTTGGGAGTTTTTGCTGCTGTAATAGATATATTGATATAATACAACATATTTATTGTCTTTTTTATTCAGTTGAGTCAATTTGAAAATCATACTATATATTAAAATAAGACTTACTCTTTTAGTACCTTTATTTTCTTTGAATGTAGATTTGTGCTCTTATAAATCACTTGTTAGGTGAGGATTACTTCCGTTATTTATATAGTTTTTGTTGACCTTATTTCTAATTAATATATGAGTTATATTTTTTTCCAATCAATCCCTGTATAATAAATGTGAAAGACTATCTCGTGCAAGAATATTTTTATGGTTTATTTTTCAACGTGAGTGTTTTAAGATATTCTTTTAATTTCCTATCAAATTTAATTCTTTATTTATCATATTTATTTATGAATTAAATTTTAATATTTTAAAACAAATCAATAATTAAAAGTAATAAATTTATTTATCTTGAATCTAAATACAATTTGTATATTTAAAATATCTTATATTAATTTTAAATATAATTTTTATATTTAAATTTAGTATTTATTTATATAATTTATTATAAATTTTAATTATATATAATAAATATTTAGTTTGTGAAATGTGTATGATAAAATATTATTAAGAAAAAAAATTATAAGTGAAAGGTAATTTTCATTTCACAAGCTGCTTTTCAAGAGTTGTATGGTATAACACTAATACATAGATTATTGACATTGGAGGTTCAAATCCCATGACAAAGGAACTTAAAAGAATATGATATTCAAAGTTGTCGAGTGGGCTCCTTGATAGACAATGACCACTAGTATCCAAAGAACGAACTATTATGTTAGATGGAGAGTGGAGACATACTCCAATTCACTAATAAATTGTGTAATGCATTACTTTGAGGATGTTGATTGATGTAAGTCAACACGTGGATAGACTTGACCTTGTAAGAAATTATTGTCTCTTGTGTGTGGCACATGAAAGGATATGATTTTTGGAAATATATTATTCAATTATTTTGAATGAAAAGATATGACTTTTGGAAATGAGTTATTATATTTTAATGAAGGAGTATATTGTTTGATGGAAACAATATATATAATGGAAGGATATGAATAGTTTATATCTCTATTTATAAAAGTTTGTCTCTTAAAATTACCATCAAGAATCGAAGAGTACAAAGAAAATAAAAAGAGAAAGAGATAGAAAAGATTCTTCTTAAAAATTCTACAAGGTTCAAAGTCATCAATCTCATCATGGATTAAGATTAGTGTTTTTATTTAATCTTATATGTGAAAATTATGAATTCTAAGATCCTATTTGATCATTCAAATAATGGAGGAGTCTACATGTGGTATCATAGCATGTGTTTGAGAATTTATAGTTTTTCATCAATTTTAATAATTGCATAAATGTTTTCCATCAAGAATTTGAAAAATAATGTTTTCCGCTGCATTATTGTATTGATAATTTGTATATGAATTGAGAAAATAAAATATTTTATGGGCTTGCGTTTTAAAATCAATTTTTCTGAGCTTGTGTTTTAATGAGAACTAAGATGTCAATGTTAGAATTTTCTAGTAATTCAATTATAATGAAAATTTTATTAGAATTTATAGATGCCATCACAGGACCGTTATCTTTTCCATTGCATACGGATTGATTTCAATATGAAATCATAAAAGCTTTAAATTGATATAAAGAATAGAATGCCCCTTGAATTGAAATGCTTTTCTCGTAACAGGAAGATTTTGGAATTCAAATCATATATATATATATATCAAATTGAAACCAAATGCTGAATGCTTTTCCAGTTTTCTTGTTATGTCTTTTTTATTTTTATTTTTATTATTTTTTATTTTTATAAATTTGAAATTATAGCTTAAATGCCGAAATTATTTTTGGAATTGTAATTTACATTTACAATTCTAACATGATTGAAAATTTGAAAGTCCGTTATTTTATATTTAATTAAATTTTTAATTGAAAATTCTAACTACTTTGTGAATGGCTGCATTAAACCATTATGAAACAACGTATTTTACAATTGAAAGTAATTTTTTTATTGTCGTGATTTATTTTGAAATTAAATGTATGACAGATTTGTAATCACTAAAGTGGTCAAATTTTTATGTTTTATTTAATTTTAAACTAGTGACAATTTTATTTTAATTATTCATAGCATGGATGCTAAATTATGAATTATTTGTTTATGAATATATTGAAGTTTATTATTATATGACAATTAAAAAATCATCCAAAGGTTGATTATTGTTTTTATAATTAATGAGCATAAATGTTGGTAGTGTAAATGCATTATTAGTTATATTTATATATCCAAAGATAATAAATATTTCTAAATTAATGCATATATCATTGCCAAATTATGTATACATTTTTTGCATCATTATGTCAAGTATGGTATATTGATGGATTGCCTAAAGGTGAACATTAATATACAATATATGAAGTTATGTTCAGAATTTATTTAGCATATTAGTATGTAACTCAAAGCATTAATATTTTAAATCTTTATTGTCTGCAATACCTTTTGCCTTGCATTTGCATTTCTCATGTGTACCAACTTTTAATGGACTTAATTTCTCTAAATGGAGTGAGCAAATTCAATTTTACCTTGGGGTAATGGGCTTAGATTTGGCTCTTCGTGAAGAGAAACAAAGTGCTATTACAGATTCAAGCACTGAGGAAGAGAAAGTTCATTTTAAAAATTGGGAAAAGTCAAACAGATTGAGTTTGATGTATATACGGATGAGTATTGCTAATAACATTAAGTCCGCCCTTCCTAAAACTAAAAGTGCACAAGAAATGATGAAGTTTGTGGAAGAGTGCTCCTAAACTGCTAATAAGTCTCTTGCCGGGACATTGATGAGTACTTTAACCACCATGAAATTTGATGGTTCTTGTATTATGCATGAGCATGTTATCGAAATGGTAAACATTGCAGCAAAACTTAAGTCATTGGGAATGAATGTGGATGAAAATTTCCTTGTGCAATTCATATTGAATTCATTGCCGTCTGAGTATGGCCCTTTCCAAATGAACTATAATACCATGAAAGATAAATGGAATGTGCATGAATTGCATAATATGTTAGTTTAAGAGGAAACTAGACTTAAGAATCAAGGAAATAATTCCATTAATTATGTTAACCATCAAGGAGCTAGAAAGAAATTTGGCAAGAAACATGACAAGAAAGAAAAGAAACTCCTAAAGATCAATGAGGCTTCTTCCTCTCAAATCCACAAGAAGGAACATCATGGCAACAAATATTAATTTTGTAAAAAGAATTGGCACTTCCAAAAGGATTGTCCAAAACATAAGGCTTGGTTCCAAAAAAAAGGTAAGCCTAATGCTTATGTATGTTTCGAATCAAATTTAGCTGAAGTTCCTTATAATACTTGGTGGATTGATTCTAGATGCACAACTCATGTTTCTAATACAATGCAGGGATTCCTTACGACCTGAACCATAAAGCCAAATGAAAATTTTGTCTTTATGGGCAATAGAGTGAAGGTTCCAGTGAGAGCAATCGGGACTTATCGTTTAATCCTCGACACTGGACATCATTTATATTTGTTTGAAACTCTTTATGTACTTAGTATTTCTAGGAATTTAGTTTCTTTATCTAAACTTGATGTTAATGGATACTCTATTAAATTTGGTAATGGATGTTTCAGTTTGTATAAACATACCCATTTAATTGGTAGTGGTATATTATGTGATGGATTATATAAGTTAAATCTTGATAATCTTTTTGCTGAAATACTTTTGACCTTGCATCATAATATTGGCATTAAAAATGGTTTAGAGAATGAACGTTCTACTTACTTGTGGCATAAACATTTAGGACATGTTTCCAAGGAAAGATTGAAACGATTAGTTAAGAATGAAATCCTTCCGGATTTAGATGTCATTGATCTGAATGTATGTGTGGATTGAATTAAAGGTAAACAAATAAAACAAAGAAAGGAGCCACGAGAAGTAGTCAGCTTCTTGAAATTATACACACCGATATTTGTGGACCTTTTGATGTGAACTCTTTCAATAAAGAGAAATACTTTATCACCTTCATCGATGATTATTCATGTTATGGTATGTCTATTTGTTACATGATAAATCTCAAGCTATAAACGCCTTAGAGATTTACATTGAAGAAGTAGAAAAACAATTAAACAGTAAGGTGAAAATTATTAGATCTGATCAGGGTGGTGAGTATTATGGAAGGTATGATGAAAGAGGACAACATCCTAGTCCCTTTGCTAAATTCCTTGAAAAGCGTGGCGTATGTGCACAATAAACAATGCCAGGTACACCACAAAATGGTGTATTAGAAATGCGTAATAGAACCTTGTTGGATATGGTTAGGAGTATGTTAAGTAACTCTTCTTTACCTATTTCATTATGGACTTATGCTCTAAAAATTTCCATGTATTTATTGAATAGGGTTCCTAGTAAGGCAGTTCCAAAGACTCCTTTTGAACTGTGGACTGGAAGGAAACCTAGTTTAAGGCACCTACATGTTTGGGGGTGTCCGGCAGAAATTAGATTTTATAATCTGCAAGAAAAGAAATTGGATGCTAGGACGATCAATGGATATTTTATTGGTTATCCATAAAAGTCAAAAGGGTATAGATTTTATTGTTCAAAGTATACTACGAGGATTATTGAAATTGGGAATGCTAGGTTCATTGAAAATGGTGAAGTTAGTGGGAGTGAAACACCACGCAAAATGGAGATTCAAGAAATGAGAGTGCAAGTTCCATTAACTTGTATCTCTAATAAAGTTGTTATTCCTCAAGTTATTGAACCAATTAATAACTATGAAGAACAACAAACTAATGATCCCATTACTCACAATGATGTTGAAGTAAATGAACCTATAGTAAAAGAACCACAACAAATAGCATTAAGAAGATCACAAAGAGAAAGACGATATGCTATTCCAAATGATTATATGGTTTATCTACAAGAGTCAGAAAATGATAGACTATGGCCAAGGCTAAGGAATCCAAGAGGTGATACATTGAAGGAACCAAGAGAAATGGGATGATGGACCATGGGCCAAGGGCCTAATCTCTAGAGCTATGGCCACCTTGAAGACCAGTGGACACCTTGAAGACCAGTGGGCTTTCCAAGCCC